TTCGGATATTTACGTCGACGAGTCGCGATTGTGTTTCTTCCAATAATATTACACTAGGATCGTCGGTGGATTTGTTCCTTCTTCGAAAGTAGACAACGATTATTGGAGATAAGAGTCGTAACTATTCGTGTAATGTAGTGATCCTTCGGAAATTCACGTCGACGAGTGCCAATTGACGCGATCGCGTTTCTTTAAATCCGTCCCGAACGACCCGATCGCGCTTCTAATTCAAATCGACGTTCAATAATGTTGTGTTAGGCTTGTTATTATATAAAAACGTCGTGACACTTTTCGACACGAAACGGTGCGCGGCAGCAAAATGGTTGAGTTAGAAAATAGTTTGGATTCAGATATTGTACTATGGCAAGATATTTCTAAAGTACTCGGTTATGATTTTAATGAAATACTCGGTGAGTATTTGATAGAATAGAGATTAAAGATTAGATATTATTTAAAAATAGATACAAATTTTAATCAACTGTTGACATAGATAGAATATCAATTCGGTTGTAGTTTTTTGTATTAACGTGGGGAATAGTTTAAAGATCGAATACTTTCGAAATACCTGCTTTTGAAATTTTTTTTCGTGGAATGTTTATAAAATCACTGGCAATTTTTACATTATACGATGTTACGTTATTTCACATTATAGCGAGTCTCTTTCTATTTGAGCAATACTCGACAATTTCAATACTTCTCACGACGTGAAATTGAAGGACAATTTAAAACTAGAATTTCACACACCTTTGATTTAACGGACACAACAATAAATACGAAGACAAATTATTGCACACGGATTATTCTGTTTTGGATCTGCTATTCGCTTGTCGTTTAAGAGACCGTTACGTATTGAATCTTCCACTTTTGAAATTCGTATCTCTAAACGACGGAACTCGATTTATCCGAACGGAGCTTCCCGGTTAGTATTAGATTAACCGAACTTCTGCCGAAAATAAATCCATTTATATTTGAACGAGAAATACGTAGTTCGAGAGAATCGTTGGGGAAATTATATTACGAACTTCGGCCATATATAATAGATTTCAATCTTCGATGGGTTTTCACGTGAATGAATCAAATTCTATTCTATATACTTACTTCTTCTATAGTATTACATTTCTGCATCTATCTGTAACATCGATATTCTTCATTAATTTACAGAATATGATCCGAATCCTCTGTTGACGTTGGGGAAACGTCGGCGACAAATATCAGTGTCGACGGAAGATAAACGTGCTTCGAGTAATAATCAACCTTCTACTTCAGCTAACACGAATAACACGAATAACATAGCGGCGGATGCAACAAACAGTTACGCTTCGACGTCTGCTGACACACAGCCAGTTGAACGACATAAATCGGAGGAGGTTGAAGCAAAAGACCTCCTGGAAGATCATCGCGAGAGGAAACGATTGAAGAAGAGAAAAAAAGACAAATTGAAGAGACTGCAAGAGACGGAAGGAAAACGGAAACATAAAAGGCACAAGTGTGAAGAACACAGAAAGCATAAGCACAGGAAACATCGTAAACATAAGCACAAGCATAATCATCATAGCAGCACTAGCGAAGGAAGTTCGCAGATTAGGTTTGTCCTCTTTTCAGTTAAACTTTTTTCTATCTTTTCACCGCGCAAGGGCGGTTAAAATGCCGCGAAAATTTATCTTTATCATTAGTGGAAGAAGAACAGAGGTTCCAGTAAAGTAGGATAAGACTAGAATATTAAGAAAAATATATGACATCGCGACGTATTTAAATTTAAATTTTCATTATAAGTAGTTAACTTTTAGTTCATCTTCAAAATTATTGCAATTATTATGAAGTTGTTAGTTTTAAAAATTATCATCTATCATCGAAAAAAAATTGTTCCATTGTTAATTTCCGTGACTTTTGAACCTTAATGGATTAATTGACAAATTAAAACTAAAAACACCTTTCACATTCCCATTGATATAAAAAATTTATAAACGACTGATACAGCAATATAGCATATTTTCCCATCAGCTTACAATCTTAATACGAATGTTCTCAAATGCCTTTTAGCAGTGGGGAAAGCTCTAGTAGTCAAAAGAGCGAAGAAGAATTACCCAAGGAAATAGTGGCTAAAGAAGAGGAAGAAGAAGAGGAAGAAGAGGAAGAAGTTGAAGAACAACCGACAATGCAAGAAGAAACCTTAGAAGAAGTCGCAGAAGAAGCTTCAGAGGAAGCTTCAGAAGAAACCTCAGAGGAAGTCCCAAGAGAGATCTCGGAAGAGGCCTCAGGCGAGGCCTCAGAAGAAACCGTAGAAGAAGGCTCGGAAGAAGTTCCAGAAGAAGCCAGAGAAGAAGTTTTAGAAGCAGTCTCAGAAGAAGCTTCGGAAGAAGTCCCGGAAGCGGCCTTAGAAGAAGTCTCAGAAGAGACATCGGAAGAGGGCTCAGAAGAAATCCCGAAAGCGGCGCCAGTGTCCACTCGCGAGTCGAGGAGCAGAAAATCGAAGCGAAACAGGAAATCGAAAACGCGAGAACGACAGGAATTGGTGGAAAGTCGAAGTAAAATGGCGGCTTTCTTGCCAGCCAGGCAATTATGGGATTGGTCTGGAAAAGGTTACAAAAGACCTGGTGCCAAAGGAAGGGCCAAGAAACAATTCTTCCGGGCCATTAAACGTGGCAACGAAACAATTGAAATCGGTGATAGCGCGGTGTTTTTGTCTACTGGCAGACCAGATAGACCGTACATCGGACGCATCGAATCCATGTGGGAAACCTCGAATTCCAATATGATTGTAAAGGTGAAGTGGTTTTATCACCCCGAGGAGACTGTCAAATGTCCGAAGAATTTGAAATATCCGGTAAGAATACAATTTATGGAGATTCTTTGACGCTTTTGACGTTAGTACTTGGTAATAGATAATCAGATAATTAACGTAATAGATAATTAATTGCTGGCTAATGTATAATTAATTACGTCACGCTAACATCTTTCGGACGTTATTCTTGCACAATTTATTACTGTGAAAAGAATTCTGAAAATATTTCCAAGTATTTAGTAGTTTAATTCTTCGCAGGCAGAATTTTTTGTTAAATTTAATTTTTTTATTATTTGTCCGAGGTTAATTTCTATACTTGTTAATTATTCCTTCGAGTATTTGGTTCAAGAACCGATTGCAATAGACTTCAATAAGTGTTTTACAATCAGACATCATTTAAAAATCAAAAACAGCAAAAACAATTAGTCGTGATTTCTGATATTGTTTCTGATATTGCATATTTTTGACACTTTTATTTTGGAAATATAGAATAGCAAAAAAACACAATACAGACATCGTTAATTAAAGTAAAGTCATTTCTAATGAAGAAAATATGCAATTATAAAAGTAACGTAATTTTAAGAAAACAGATTTTTATCTTCACAAAGAATTGTCCAACAGAAGCCAAAGATTTTTAACACATTGTCGTCCATACTTCGCTCTCCTAATACCTTAAACCAAAAAAAAAAAAAGAAAAAAAATTTCATCGAGCAATTCAAAGAAGAAATTCAATTTCAAATGCAAACAGGAAACGAAATAATCAAAGAAGGGCAAAAACCTCACAGCGCGAAACTGACACTCGTCATCTCTCACTATCCACGTAGGAACCTCGATTTTTATTTTCACTTTCATCACTCGTACCGTCATTGTAGTAAATGTTTACACATCGAGACTATGCTTCGAGCATATTCCAAAATTTTTAAATTTTTCCTATCATTGGTATTAACCTGTTCGTGGGAATGTCTCTAGGGTGCTCTGTTCGAGTCTCCTCACATGGACGAGAATGATGTGCAAACGATCTCTCACAAGTGCGAGGTGCTGCCGCTTCACGAATACACGGAGAAACTGGGGAGAGAACCGCATCGATACCTCACCATCTATGACAACAACGACATTTACTATCTAGCCGGATATTACGATCCCTCCACGCTCCAGTTGACCATAGAGCCGGGGGTTGTTTGAGAACAGCTTAAGCTGACGATTAAGTTAACTGGTGTTACTTAATTGTCGTCAGCCGATGAAAAATATTGCGAAATTTCACGAAACACAAACGGTGGCGAGTTGGCGCCCACGATTCGAAGTTGACGCGTTTTCCAGCTATCGGACGAGCTTGAGAACGAGGATCGAGATTATCTGCGCGGTACGATCACTTACGTACCTTAGGGACGAACGAATCGAACGTTCGTTGAACGCCAGAGACATTATACTTGTAACATTTGTGAAAAAAAAATCAGCGTTTACTCGCTTTTTGAATTTTTGAAAGACGATGTGATCACATCACACATTCACGTTTTACGATTTAAACGGAGTTAAGTGTATTTTCGAAGTCCACCACAAGGCACAAGCGTTATTTATCGTCGCAATGGACGTTAAAGTTGTTTCCATTTTACATCGATCATAGTTTTTTTTCTTTCTTTCTTCTT